AGAGCACTGAGAGAGAGACTCTGTGAAGATAAACCCCAGCAAACACTCCCTAAGGGGGAGAAGGCAAAGGAGAAGAGGTTTAACCCCTGATTTTTCACCCCACTTGTTCATTAACAATAATAATCCCTGCCTTGCAAAGGACACATTTGCTTTTGCTGTTTTGGGAGGATTTACTCCAGAGTATCATGAGAATTGCCTGATTCACAGTGCGAGGAAGGAGAGTTGTGTAGTTGTCCTGCTTCACTCCACAGGGATTCTAAGACCCACTTTAGGACTTGTGGGGGCAACCAGTAACCCAGAAAGGCTCTAATCTTTATGGTCCTTTGTTGCCTTGGACCTACCCTGAGTCATTTCATTTGGATGAAGTTCTCCTAGTCATAGAATCATAGAATATCAGGGTTGGAAGGGACCTCAGGAGGTCATCTAGTCCAATCGCCTGCTCAAAGCAGGACCAATTCCCAACTAAATCATCTCAGCCAGTCTTCAAAGCCTACTCTATGTATCATGGTTGGATTTTTCTGTGTAGTTGCAGCTACTTCGGGGGGTGGCGTAGAAAGGCCCCAACTTGTCTGACTCAGAGCCCTGTGTCCTAACAGATATACAGTCAGCCACATGCAGGCTGGGCATTTTTTACCTTTGCTGAGCCTGAGAAACTTATCTCATATACAGAGCACCTTTTGGATTTTGCCCAGTGCTTGCACGGTTGTTCTGCCAGGCCTGAAAAGGGGAACAGCAGCTTGGCAGGGAGGCACTGCAGCGGAGATTTCATATGGCTGTTGCCACCAGAGTGCTCAGAACCTGAACCAGAAAGTGGTGAAAAGGTTTGAAAGCAAATAAAAAAGCTTTAACTGCCTGAAAAATGGCTAAACATTAAAAAAAAAAAAGCACGGGAGTGAAGCAAACCACCACTTGACTGCTGCCGTGGAGACAGAAGATCTGGCAGCAAGCACGAGAAGGAGGCATGGTTAGCATAGGCTGTGCTGCAGCTTTGAATCAGAAACTGCACACAGGAGGCCAAGAGCCTATATCAGAATTATGGGAGATGTACTGCAGAAAAGGATAAGGTATACAGACGAGATCTTGGCCAGCTTTGAATGTTTATGTTGTTTCAGCCTCTGGATTCAGTCACCTACAGAAATAGCAAGATGCCTTCTTGTTTCTGGAAGAAAACAGGTCCATCACTGGTCACCCACATAAACGGACGAGGGATGAGAATATTTCTGATTGTGGACTCTATTCCACTTGAGTTCATGTTTGTTTGCAGAGCCAATCTATCTTTTTCAATTTCCCTTGAGGTGCAGGATGCACAGCAACAAAAAGTGTTGTTCTTCTCAAGTCAACACGAGCAGAGCTTTTTTCTTAAATGGTAAGGATTATGTTTGCTTAGTGAAGCCATGTCGGTTGTGTTGTCCTTCATAACCAACATATGTCTACCACCTAAAGAGAGGGCCAATGCTTTGAGGCCAGAACTGACTACTATGAGCTCTAGCCAGTCAATGCTATGCTTTCTCTCTTCTATGGATATGATCCCTGAACTGTCATAGTGTCTGAAAGCACCTTCCTAGTTTCAACCTCCTAGACCAGGGATCGGCAACCTGTGGCACGCGGCTCACCAGGGTAAGCACCCTGGCAGGCTGGTTTGTTTACCTGCCGCAGGTTCGGCCGATCGCAGCTCCCACTGGCTGCGGTGCGCCACTCCAGGCCAATGGGGGCTGCGGGAAATGGCGTGGGCCGAGGGATGTGCTGGCTGCTACTTCCCGCCCCCCCCGCCCCCATTGGGCTGGAGCGGCGAATCGTGGCCAGTGGGAGCCGCGATCGGCCGAACCTGCGGACGCAGCAGGTAAACAAAGCAGCCCGGCCCGCCAGGGTGCTTACCCTGGCAAGCCGCATGCCAAAGGATGCCGATCCCTATCCTAGACTGATGACTTTGTGATTATTGTTCCATCTCACTTGCTGACTGCCTCTTTGAGGCGAAATCCTTTTTCATCAACCAACTGAAGGAGATAGATACAATCCATAAGACTATGATTTTCACAACAGGCTGGAGTAGGATGGGATGTGGAAAAAATAACAGAGCTGGAGAGGTCTCGTATGTATCCTGGCCCACTGCAGATTGTCTCTGGAAGATACTAACAATCCCAACATGTTTAGTAGGGCAGGAAATGATGTTTCTTCAGCAACTTTTACTTCCTTTATAGATTGCTTCATCTTTTTCTAGTAGTCTCTGGAGATGATCTACTTGTGCCTCATTGGCTCTATCTTCATAACCAAAAGAATGATGAAAACGTACTGGGGATAGCACATTTTTTCTTCTCTTTATCACAAAACTATAATGTTCCAGAAGCTGCATGGATTTCAGGTGATTTGATTCTGCTTTCTCTCTGGCTAGAGCCCTGATCAGGCTATCCATGAAGGGGTAATGCTGCTTCTAATACTACTATTGTATATCTTCTCTGGACTACACCCAGAACTTATTTGTTCAAAGTCATCAGCAGTCATCAATTCACAAATTAAAGGCGTCTGATACCAATTTGGTGTTCATTTTGCACTAGGGCTAGGAAGGGAGTCATTCAGTGTGTTTTGAGGTTGCTGAGTGCTGATCTGAGAATTCATCTCTGTTTCAACCTTTTCTGGTTTAATTATATCTTCTTGTGTAGCTGCTGTCTCTCTGTGCTGTGTTTGTTAGCGTGAAATACCAGAAATGATTGGTTAGACTTAAAATAAGGCTTTTACTTTCTGTAATGTATAATAGCAGGGGTCAAGGCTCTTTTGGTCATTTCTGATGATTCACCTATTTTCCCATAGATTCTCTAAAGAGCTTGCCTCTGGGTACTAAGTATTTTGAAGCCTCTATAAGTTGTTTAGTTGAGATCCATGGAACTGCATGTGCCTCTAAGAGACTGCATTGTATCCCACTGCTCTAACTAAGAACAAGGGATAAAGGTTTCAAGTGATGATCCAAAACAAAGGCAGCCACACGGGAGATTTTCCAGAGAGAGGCCCTTAGGCTGTATCCTTTCTTAGTTCTGAGTACAATGTCTACAAGAGAATCTATCTATACCAGCATTGGCCAGGCAAAACAAACAGAAACTGCTGAGGTTTTCATGGTGGCTGATGTAGCTTCATAATTCCTGTGAAGGGAGAAGTCTAATTCTTATGTCCAGGTGACTTTATGAAAGAAATCTAATTCACTGGTAGTGTCCTTCACCAAAGAGGATAAAGCCAAATCTGCCATTGCAATGAAACTACATCAGATTTCAAATGATGTATGTTATAGTCCTTTTTGGCCTATTTTCCTAGATTCTTCAATGTAGCTGTGAACTCACCGTCATCTCTTATGATATCCTGCAAGACCATATGGAAAGGATACATGGTTCCAAATTGAACCAAACAGGAACTACTTCCTAGTTATTTCAATTCCTTTCCCCTTCTGTTCAGATTCCTTTTCTTTCTGGGGGTCTGGAGGGATATTAGAATTGGAGTGGCCTTTCTAAGAATGGTAGCAATTTGTTCACACTATCTTGTTAATTGAGAGCTTTGCATGTACTCTCTAAAGCTGTTTGATTCTTAGAGCCCTAAAAAACACAAGATCCATTTGCTAGAGCAGTGGTTTCCAAACTTTAACAACCCGTGAACCCCTTTCACAAAAATGTCAAGTCTCGCAAACCCCCTCCTAAAAATGAATATTTCCAGGGATTTTCTCCTTTACCTGAGTATAAATTATAAAAGCAGTGACCTTGGAAATATAACATTTGTTTTTGTGACATGCTTATTACACACTATTTATTATTAATTATTATTTATCATTCCAGTATTTTTATTACATTATGAAAACGACAACACTCTTCCAAGATATCACTTTCGTAGCTCGTATCACTTTGAATAAGCCTGTTATAAGACAAGGCTCCTAGGTTTCATCAAGGAGTATGAGATGTGAAACAGCAGGAAGGGATTTAAGAAGCCAATTCAAAGAGTTCCTCCTACACAAGCATTCAGGTCTTGAGCAGTCCAGACAAAAACGCACGTTACAGCAAAGCTTAAGGTTGTTCTTCATAATATACAAGCTCCCTATTTAATTTTAAAAACAGCAACAAATATCCACCTCCCTTTCCATTTCTTATAAGGAGTCTTGAAGTTTAAATCTCCTCAGTGTGATAGATATGCTTACTTTGATCTGCTCAGCTCTTGGAAGTCCAGGGGCTCCGGGCTACTGGCCCCATGCTGCTGGGGTTCCTAGGGACAGCTCTGTCTGCCATTAGGGAATTTTTTCCCAAGAACCCCCTGTAACATTTGGCGAACCCCCCGGGGTTCACGAACCCGTTTGGGAACCACTGTGCTAGAGGAATTCATTTATTGGAGAATCTGTATTTGAAAATATAGATAGCCTGGGAGGGATGGCAATTTAGGTTTGATTTCCTTAACGTATCTTTGTGAATGTTAATTTTGTTTTCATAGCTCCCAGGACCAAAGCATATGGCTTTATTTTTTTCTGAGCAAATTACATTGCACTTATCTGAATTAAATCTCCTATTAATTTTGGCTCACTTCTCTACATTTTCATGGCCATACAGTGAGCTCACAATTTTTCTTCTTTTAATATTATGTGTCAATTTACACTTCATTACTTCTAACTCATTTAAGAAAATATTAAAGAGTATCTCACCTAATATGAGTGCTTAGGGTGCTTTAACTGCTTACATCACCAGAAGTCAAGAAGGTAAAAAAAAGGGTGTGGAAGGAAGCTGAAAAAGTACACTTAGTTCCTCTGCATAAATTCCAAGGGTTTTAAACATGATAAATGTATGATGTTAATATCTTGTTGTAGCAATTTATTACTGACTGTTATTAGTGCAAACTACAAATGGTGCAAGGTGCTTTGATTTCCATATCAACTGAAATTGTGATTGCTAGTGTCAAACAGTTAATAGCAAAGCTCTGACTTGAAAAAAATCTACATTTATTTTGAATCAGATGATAAAAGCAAAATATAAAAATATAACCTGAAGCTTGGCATTCTGAGTTTGTAAGGTTGTATTTTGCTCCTGTAAAGAAACAGTCTGTCTCTGAAGTGACAGAATCTGAGCTTGTAGATTATTGTTCTGGGTCTCAAGTTGCTTTAGTTGAGTTTTCAGAGCTTGTTTCTCTGCCTGCAGGGTAGCATTCTTAAAAAAAAAAAGGTTAAAGATAGAAGAATCATGCATATCAACAGGACATTGTTTATATTTTAGGTTACTTTACCTACAAAGAAAATTATTTATTTTAAATACAAATAAGATGAAGTTATGGGTTTCCATTAAAATCACAAGAGAGAAGCAATTGTGAGATAAAGCTTCCACACTTTTATTAATTTATCTGTTTTTCGGTTAGGAATGTAGTGGCCACACTAACCTGAGATATTCATACAGGGATGGAGGGAGGGCACATTTTCAAAACTGGCCCCAAACTAGACATTCAAATGGCACTAATACAATTACTGTCTTACACTCAAATCCCTGTTTGTATGTGACACCCATGGATGTGTCATTGGCAGCAGAGATTGAACCTGGCACCTCTGCTTCTAAAACTATAAGCCTCTACTATTTAAGCTAAAAGACCCAGGTCTGACAGTGCAAAGACTGTAGGAGACCCATAAAGCGCTATGTGGTTCAGCCCCTAGAGAAGGACAGAGTCATACTGTGTAAGTGTGAATTACACATTCCTCCTGGCAATGGAAGTTCATCCTGAGGCCTGGTCTACACTAGGGGGGAGAGGGTTGCGAGCTAAGTCAGTCTAAGTTACGCAACTTCAGCTATGAAAATAGCGTAGCTGAAGTCGACGTACTTAGAGCTACTTACCGCGATGTCTTCACTGCAGTTGCTGACGCTCCCCCCTCAACTCCGCCTGCACTTCTCACTCCGGTGGAGTACCGGAGTCGATGGGAGAACGCTCAGCGGTCGATTTATCGCGTCTTCACTAGACGCGGTAAATCGACCCCCGCTGGATCGATTGCTCCAGAGGTAAATGTAGACATGCCCTAAGTGTCAGGGGTCTATCCAGATTAAATCTCCACAGGGGCCATCACTTGTAATGTGACTCTCTTGGGAGTAAAAGCATGAGCCTCTACTGGCTGAGCTAGAAAACCCATGTTTGTTAACTCACATTTTTACTCTGGCCACCTCACTCTCACATCACATTACACAAATAAAACTGAAACAACTTACATTCCTTTCTACTTCTATTAATCTATCTTTAACCTTCAATAGTTCTCTAGTAGTTTCCTGATTTTCCTTTTCCCATTTATTGACAGACTGGGTTTCTTCACCAGTTCTTGGAGGAGAATTCTGTACCATCCTTTCCTCCTCTTGTCTTTGCTTGAGGGCTTCATAGTTTTTTTTCACCTAAAATCAATTAAGATAATTACAAAAATTGAAAATATAACCCCAAACCTCTTTTTTAACTATGTGTGAATGTAATTTGCACAGGACAAGAAACTCAATGAATATTTTTAATATTTATAATTGTCAATTTAACTGTGGGAGTTTACACATATTATATAAATATAAAACATGAAACTGCCAGCAGAACAACTACACCCCTATCTACTATGTGTTGGATATATGTATCTTTTGTGCACTCAACTGTACCTCAAATTAATTATACAAGTGTCAAAATCTAGATGGGTAAATTTCATAGATGACCATTACATTCCAGATGTTTAAAGTTGTATCACTAAATTCTAGATTTCTTGGGAAGTGAGGATCCTTTGTACCCCCAAATCAAGCCCTGAGTTCAACTGCATTTTTCTCTTTTACCCACCATCAAAGCTCTGTGACTTGGCCCATGATGTAACTCTTAGTTACAACCTGTCTTATCACTTATTTTAACTCTTATCTGCAAGACACAGTCCTGCCAACTCTGTGAGTTCAAAAATTATGATCCAGGCCAAGAGAAGTCAGGAGATTGGCTTGAAAATCATGCATTCTGTAAAAATATCAATATTCCTTTTTGGTTTGCTTTTGGGATTTCTTTTATAAAGTCTTAGAGATCACCCTTTGCTCTCCCTTATGTGTCAATTTTTCGATGAAAACACAGACAAAATGCACCTACAGAAACTGAGGGGGTCCTCCCCTCTTCTTTTTCCTGACAGATGGGAGGCAAAGGTTCTCTGAACTCTCCCCAATACATGCTCTTTCCCTTCCAGACAGTTTCTGGGTACTACTGTCAGGTCCCTACTCTGTTTCCCACCACCTCTCCACTGAGTACTCCTGGCCTTCCCCAAACATCATCCTCTGCCTCTCCACTGGGCACTGTATTGTCTTTGGCTCCCTTTTCTGGCATTTTCTCCTACCTTAATGAACACTGCTTCCTGTCCTCTTCCCCACTATTACCTACGTACACTATTTCAGCAGCAGTGTGGAGAAAAATGCAAGCTGAAGATGGGTGGGAAAAGGGATACCCCTCCACAAAGTGACCCTCTTTAATCACCACCTTTCCTGAGGGAATTGGTAGTGTCTTGGAGTTGCCACTGGCTGGTGTCTCTAAACTAGGATTCTGTACATGCACAGCAGTACAGAGCATGCAGCTGAGACACTGGAATGATCAGTAAGCCAGGGAAATGAAGCCTCTAGTTTCAAATACAACAATTGTTTACCCATAATTCTTCAACTGAAAACCACTGTACATGACACTGAACAGCAAATACTGCAAAAACTGTAGCTCTTGAGATAAATTCACAAGAATTAGCAATGCTGAAGACACAATACTCTTGTCTTAAGGTCTAAATTCAGTAAATAATTTGTTTTTAAACACTGTTCCTCACACACACCAAATATTGTAGAAAAATTCAAGACCTCCATCATGAATCACCACTCTAATATTTTTACCAAACAAAGATCTGAATTCTTATGTAACGTGAGTTTTTTGAAAATTTAGTGCTAAGAAAATTACAGACAAGCTTTCCTGTGTCTTGTAATATAGAATGCACTACTTCTGAAGCTTAAGTATTTTGAGAGATAAGTGAATTATTTTGTCAAGTGTACTTAATGTTGTAAGAATATCAATATAAACTGCAAATAAAATTGGAAAATAAGAATTATATTCAAGAATTTTATAACCTGAGGAAAAAAATGGTCATGACATTTTTTCCTTACTGTTTTAAGTTCCTGGCGCAGCTGCTGGTTTAAATTTGTTGACTCTTCTAAACGAGCTTCCAAAGCTGCAATTTTTTCTTCTTTTATTTCTAGAGACTTCTTTAGTGTAGACTCTAATTTTGACTCCAAAAGCTTGTACCTACTACTCAATGAAATTTAAAAAATATATATTTTTATTATTTCAAGAAAGATAAAAAATTCTTTAAGACTTTTTTTAAGTGACATACATATTTTAAATTCTAGGTGAATATAGTGCTCTTGAAAAAATGGTTACTAACCTTCTGTAACTGTTGTTCTTTGAGATGGGTTGCACATGTCCATTCCAATGTAGGTGTTTGTATGCCCCAAGCATAGTCACCAGAAATTTTCCCCCTAGTGGTTAACTGCTGGGTCATCCTGGCACCCTCTGGGGTGTCACACACTTATAGAACCAGAATAAAGGGCTTGCCAACCCTGCACCCCCTCAGTTCCTTTTTTCCAGCTAACTTCATTGAGAGAGGAAGGAGGGTGGTTCTTGGAATGTTCTTGAAGAACAACAGTTATGGAAGGTTAGTAACTGTTTTTTCTTCAGCAAGAGCCGGGTCAACCCCCAGGCTGGAACAGTGGCTGCCGGGGTGGAGCAGGAGCAGCAGCTCCCAGGGCTAGCAGTCAGCCCCCACCGCAGGAGCAGCGGCAAGGCCGGAGCAAAGGCTGGTGGTCAGCCCCCAATGGGGCTCTTACTATTAGTCTCCCTCCTCGGCTATTTTTAGTAAAAGTCACGGACAGGTCGTGGGCTTACATGAATTTGTGTTTATTGCCAGTTTTGCAGTCCATGACTTTTACTAAAAATACCTGTGACAAAATCTTAACCTTAGTGCTGGCATAGTGTGCTGAGAACGTGTGCACTGATGACCAGGTTGCCACCCTGCAGATGTCCTGAATAGGGATTTGCACTAGGAAAGCGGCTCAGGAGGCCTGTAATCTTGTGGAATGAGCAGTCAGGTTAGCTGGAGACGGAACGCTTGCCTACTTATAACACATGCAAATGCATGATGTGATCCAGGACGAGATTCTCTGAGTGGAGATAGGGAATCCCTTGATCCTCTCTGCTACTGCTATGAACAGCTGGGTAGATCTATGAAACGGCTTAGTCCATTCTATATAGAACATTAGGGCCCTTCTAACATCTAGAAAGTGTAGCCGTTGCTCTTCCCTATTCTAAGGTGGTTTTGGGAAGAAAACTGGAAGGAACATTGCTTGACTGCAATGGAAGTGCGAAAACACTTTTGGGAGAAAAGCAGGAAGTGAACACAACTGTACCTTATCCTTGAAGAAAACTGTGTACAGGGGCTCTGACGTGAGCCACGCATCTCTGAAACCTTTCTGGCTGAAGTGATAGCCACTAAAAAGGCCACCTTCCAGTAGAGGTGAGTTAATGAGAATGTTGCCAGCAGCTCAAGCAGGTGACCCAAGACCCATAAGCTTTGATAAGACGATTTAGGTCTCAGGGAGGAATGGGATCTCTAACCTGATGGTATAACTTCTCTAGGTCTTTAAGGAAATGGATAACTACCACATGAGAGAAGACAGACTGCCTGTCGACTGGGGGATGGAAGGCTGATATCGCTGCAAGGTGGACCTTGACAGAAGAAATAGCCAAGCCTTGCTATTTCAGATGCAACAGGTACTCCGATATAACTTGCAATGAAGAACTCAAGGGTGGAATTACATGCTGGGAAGACCAGATGGAGAACTGCTTCCATTTTGCAAAGTAAGTAGCCCTGGTGGAGGGCTTCCTACTACCTAGCAGGACCTGATGAACCTGCTCCAAGCAGGCCTGCTCTTCAGGATTCAGCCAGGGAGCTTCCAAGGCCATCAGATGAAGACAGCTGAGGTTCGGATGGAGCAACCGACCATGGTTCTGGGAGATCAGGTCTGGATATAAAGGAAATGGGAGAAGGGCCCTCCACTGAGAGGCCTAACAGGACAGTGAACCAATGTTGCCTGGGCCATGCTGGGGCTATGAGAATGACCTAGTCCTGCTTGATCTTCATCAGAACCTTGTGCACTAGTGGGATAGAAGGAAAGGTGTAATACAGGTGAGCTGTCCACAGCAGCAGGAAAGCATCCATGAGAGACTCCGGGCTGTGGCCTCGCAGGGAACAGAACTGGTGGCATTTCCTGTTGATTCAGGTAGCAAACAGATCTATCTGGGGAGTCCCCCACTATTGGAAAATGTCCCTTGTGATGTATGGCCAAAGTGACTACTTGTGGTGAATGGAGAAAGACCTGCTAAGGCGATCTGCCAGTTGGTTCTGCACTCCCAGGAGGGAGAAGCCTTGAGGTGGATTGAATGTGTTATGCAGAATTCCCACAGATGAACTGCTTCCTGGGACAGCAGCAAAGAACGTGCCCCACCCTGCCTCTTGATGTAAAACATGGCTGTCATATTGTCCCAGACAGCCAATACGTCTTTGTTCACAATGTGAGACGGAAGGATAACAAGAGAGAGTTCTTCTGGAGACTAAAGGCCTTGAGTCTTGAGGGGCCCAAGTGGGTTCCCCAACCCAGCACCAACATGTCCGAAACCAGGGACAATGAAGGTTAGGGCCACGAAAAGGATACTCTCACACAAATCACATGATGGTCCAGCCACCAATCCTGGGAAATGAGGACCTGAGGAGGTACGGTGAGAACCAAGTTCGGATGGTGACAGATAGGTGAGAACACTGTGGCCAGCCATGCCTGAAGAGGTCTGAGGCGTAGCCTCACACATTGCATGTGGCCCAGGAGTTTCAGACAGCTCCACACTGTGGTAACTGGTTGGGCCTTGAAGGACCTTATCAGGACTGTGATCGCCTGAAACGAATCTCCTGGGAGGAAGGCTCTGGCCTGAGTGGAACTGAGTACTGCTCCAATGAACTCTATCCTCTGCACTGGGATGAGGGGTAAACTTTTGCATGTTTATTTGCAGGTCTAAGGCCTGGAAGGTTGACTGGATGAGCTGGATTCTGGATTCTACCTGATCCCTGTGCACTCCCTGTTTCCTCAGGAAGGCTGCTACCATCACCATGACTTTGGTGAAGACATGTGGAGCAGCTGACAGGCCGAATGGAAGCACTGCAAACTGATAGTGTGCTTGGTTCATGACAAATCTGAGGAACCTTCTGTGGCCTTGGAAAATCGATATGTGGAAATATGCGTCCTTTAAATTGAGGACAGCACACCAATCCCTAAGATCCAGAGAGGGAATGATGGAGGCCAGAGAGATCATACAGAACTTTAGATTCTTGAGGTAGCTGTTAAGGCAGCGCAGGTTTATAATAGGTCTGAGACCACCCTTGGCTTTCAGAATTAGGAAATAATGGGAGTAGAACCCCTTTCCTCTCATGTTTTGTTGAACCTCTTCCACAGCTCCCATCTGAAGGAGGGATTGGATTTCTTGGATGAAGAGTTGCTCGTGAGAAGGGTACCTGAAGAGGGATAGGGAGGGGAATAGGAAGGGTGAGTAGAAAGAAACTGGAGACTGTATTCTACTTCCACCATGCTCAGCTCATGCTCAGAGGTCTGAGCTGATATGGGTCCAGGCACTAATAAATTGGGACAGGCGGTCCAAAAACAGAGAGGCAACTGCATCCAATATAATAGGGACAGGGATGGAAACCTCAAGCATCCCATCAAAAGGAGAGCTTCAAGCTCCCTGAGTGCCTGGGAGTAGCATGTGTCGGCCCCAAGTTGGAAGCTGGTGGAGGAGACCTATGCTCAAACCTCCTGCTCTTTCTCCTCTGTGGGCCTTAGCAGGCCGGTGGGGCAAAGCATTGGTCTACTCAGAGAAGAGTGAGGATCCTTCAAAGGGGAGATCCTGGAGGGCTTGCTGGACCTCTTCAGGAAGACCGGAAAACTGTAACCAAGAGCTCCTGTGCATGGTTACCATTGAGACCATAGATCTGGCTGCAGAATCAGTTGCGTTCAGGGCTGCCTGCAAGGAGGCCCTCGCTATGGTTTTCCCCTTGTCAACCAGCAAGGGGAACACCTGGCTAGCTTCCTAAGGGAGCAGATCTTTAAACTTGTGTATGACATCCCACATATTAAAGTCATAGTGACCCAGCAGTGCCCGCTCGTTTGCTATTTTAAGTTGCTTCCCTCCAGTAAAATAGATCTTTCTGACAAATAAGTCCAAATTTTGGAGTCTTTTGCCTTAGACAGTGTCCCCAATTGCCCTGGGTGATCTCTTTAATTGGTGGATGATACTACTGGTGACCCCAGGGGGATACAAGTGTAAGAACTTGTAACCCTGGACTGGCAAATAATACTTCTGCTCCGTATGTTTGACAAAGGGGGAAGGGAAGCAGTGGGTCTGCCACAGAACCGTAACAAGGTCCATGATAGCCTCATTGAGTGGCAGGGCCACCCTTGAGGGGCCCTCCGCTGTCAAGATGTCCAGCAGGCTATGAGAGGACTCTGTGACCACCTCTGCCTGGATGTCCAAATTCAAGGCCACCTACTTTAACAAATCCTGGAGAGAACCTTGTGGTCAGCTTGGGAAGAAGACATGCCAGCTGCCAATACTGTCTCATTCGGGGACGAGGTGTGGAAGCATTGGTTGAGGGCCCTCCACCCCTCCTTCCATATTGGCCACAACCCACGGGCCCTCTTCTAGAAGCTCGGTACTGGAGTCCGGATTGGGAGTCTCCCGTCGAGGCACTGCTGGTGCTCTACTCTTGGAAGCCGCCAAATAGGAGCACCTTCAGAAAGGACCTGTATGGGGTCCAAAATGGCCATTGCATTGGCACTGGCCCCGAAGGATGAGAGGGCCAAGCACTCAGTGGTACCACTGTGTTTGGTATGGTGGGGTAGAAGTGCCTCGGGGGTGGCTGCGAGAGTGAGAGGAGTGTGACCCCACTTCTGACTCTGAAGACAAAAAGTTTGGGCAAGGTGACCAGGGAGGTGTTGACCCCATTGTTGCCGGAGATCAGTGCTGTGATGATGAAGTCTGTGCTGAGGCTAGCATGGAGGGTTTTCCCTTAGATGGTACCATGGGTCCTGATACTGGGCAGAGGCTGGGAGAAGATGGTTCCCTGTCTAACTGTACCGGTGGTGCCAATTCCTGCACTGCCGGAGATATAGGCACTGGCAACAAAAGCAGGTCCCTGGCTGCTATGA